CCCTCCCGCGCTCCGCCCCGGGCCGCCCGCCCCTTCCTCCTCCCTCCCGCCGCGACTGACCGGCCTCGCCCCGCCACACAGCGGCCGTAGCCCCTCCGCACACAACGCCACGTCTCCATTTCGGCTCTCGGGCGAGCGTCCAACGCCCAGGACCGCTGCTGCGCCTCAGCCCCGGCTACTCGCAGGGTCCCGCCGGATCCCCATCACTCCGCCTCGGCTCCGGCCCAGCCGCTAGGCATGCTGGGAGGAGCGTCTCGCCGTAGGCTGGGTCGCCATCTTGCCTTCTGGGGCAAGTCCTTCGACTGCGGGACTCCGGGCATGAGCAGAGCGTGTGCGGGAAGCCGTTTCCGCGTAGGGCAAAACTCCGGACCGCCTATTAAAGGAGCAGAACGCTAGTGCCGGGAGTCTCTATTAAGACCTTTGAGCTGGCGCTGATGGAGACTTGCTGTGTTTTTCACGTGCTCGGGCAAATCCAAAAGGCAGATAGATGTTGAGGAAATACTGTTCTGTGGGTTTCAGTAGAACTGCGGACTTCAGATTTTTATAAATTAATTTTGTGGGAATACATCTAAAGAGTGTTGATCCTGCGATTCACCGGAGTAAAACTGGTTCTACCATTTTCATGTCATATTTAAAAGACGCTTTTACTAAATTGTAAATACTGATCACGATGAACCTTGGTCAGGACCACTCCCTGGAACTTTCCAGCTGAGTGGCCCTGAGATACCTGGGGGCGGGGGGGGGGGGCTTTTACGTTCAAAACTCATAGGCCACCGTACTTTCTCATGAGACTTTTTAAAGAACTACAACTCCCAGAATCCCTGGAAGTTACCTGTCTTTGGGCAGGTGGGGCTTAACAGCTTAATTTAGGATATAGGAGAACCCACTTGTACGTTCATTAGTGTGTTGATGATCCGTGTCTGTGAGATCTAGTGTAGGAGTCGGAGATTCTTGGAAAATATAGGAAGACACAGAAAAGAGAGCGAGGCCAAAGGTAGAGGGCACCGGGAGCTAGGGTCGCTGCTTACGGAGGTTGTTTTATTAGAGCTGCGTAGTAGTTTCCTGGGATGTTTTGGGTTTTTCTTTCTTTTTTTTCCCCTCTTGTGTTAATTTTGAGAAATACTTTACTTTCAATGTGTAGCTGATTCTCTGAAGTAGTTAAATTGTATAAACATGCCAGGAATGCTGAATTAGTGAATTATGAGGAAAGTTAAGTGTCTGATTTCACACATGCGTTCGCGCACACGCATACATTCTGAAAAAAAAAAATCGTGCTAGGTGATCAATGCTGGCCTCAAACTCACCTCACATCGATGTCAGTGCTGGGATTACAGGCATGTACTGCCACACTTGGCTTCTAATCACGTTTTCATCAGCCAATATGAAATCTTGTTTTATGCATGTTTCTTGTTACTTTACTAACTTTAAACTCAGGTCCAATCGCATTCCAATCCATGTCTAAACGAAGGTTATTTAGTATACATATTTCCTCTATATATTACATCATTTCCTTTGTCCCTTCAGAATCTTACAGCAGTATGCTTGGGGACCGTTTTTAAAAACCAGCAAAACCAGTAAAGTGTGGCCTAGGTAGGCTGTAAAAACGTTGTTTTCTTACAACCTGGAAACTCAAGAGGGCAGAGTGTGCCTTGCTCAGCCTCAGCTAGGAACAAAGCACACTAGGCAAGTAAAATTGGTTACTGTAAAAACACTGTAAGGATCGGCTTGGGCATTATAGGTAGGTTTTAGGGACTAGGCAGTTCGCAAATGCAGAATCCGCAAATGAGGGCTGATTGCTTCTGTTTTATATTACCCCATTTTCTAAGGTAATCACAATTTTGTAGTTTGAAATTCATTTTGTAAAATGAAATCCAGTTTATTAGATTTGACCAGTAGTTTCGCATATGCCTTGTTCCATAATGACATTGTAAGTAGCTTGTGAGCAAGGGTTATGACTCATTATTTTCAAATTTATTAAACCTAGTACTCTGCTGACTATAGCAACACATGCGAGACAAAATATCATTGAATAGATTATTAACTGGACCAGAATTATGGGACATCTACCATTCACCGGAGTCTCTCCTCCAGTACACCCCAGCTCCTCTGGCTTGTTGTGTAAAGAAAAATGTACCTGGAGCTAGAGAGATTACTCAGTGGTTGAGAGCCCTGGCTACTCTTCGAAAGGACCCGGCTCAATTCCCAGCACCCATGTGGCGACTCGCAGCTGACTGTTCCAGGAGACCTGACACCTTCACACCAATGCACATAAAATAAAAGTTAAATAAATTTTAAAACAAAGAAAAAATGTACCACTTTGAAGTACACAAATGACATTAAGATGCATTCTTTTGTGTTTTAGAGACAGGGTTTCTCTATGTAGCCCTGGCTGTCTTGAAACTCACTCTATAGACCAGGCTGGCAGGAGGGAGCAGAAAGGTTGTGAGAGGCAGAAGTGGTGATGGCTACAGGGAAACTGTTTTCCAGATCCACAGGGCAGTTGTACTGTGTATAGTCTGTACTCAGCAGTGGTTGTGACAGCATGCACAAGTGTTGTGCAGAATCTGGGCAGACAAAATTCTAGCAGGGATTGGGAAAAGATGCCATGAAGTCTCACTCCTAGCTAGGGAGCCACTGGCCACAGATGGCTGTGGGAGGAGGGAAAAGTGAGTTTTCTTCAGGGATGCATCCGTCATACTGCAGTACACGGCCCTACTCTCATGCATGCAGCACTAAGTGGACTTGGAGGGTTTAAAAGAAAAAGGCACAAGAAATCAGAAGGGAATAGTGAAGGAATTGGAGGGAAGAGGATGGATTTGGTGAAGATATTATATGCACATAACACAGTCTCAAACGCTTTTTTAAACACGTTCAGAAACTTGACTTTACTGAACTTGGTTGTGATGGCACAGGAATGAACATGAATGAAATCCAGTTCATCTAGTCTTTTGCCTGAAAGGAAATGACATATTTCGGAGCCTGGATACTCTCTGAAACCTGAAAACCCAAGCGGCTAACATCAGTGTCTGTTGCTCTGGAGTTGTCAGGATGATCTGGAGCAGAAAGTGGAACAGGAATGAATTCACTGAGGACCGCATCAGTAGTGGAAAACCTCTCAGAGTATGACAGCGGTCCAGAGAACCACCCTCTCCCGAGGACCACATCAGTAGTGGAGAACCTCTCAGAGTATGACAGCGGTCCAGAGAATCACTCGGAGAACTCTATGACTAGAAATAGAGAAGAAGGGGGCAGGGATGCAGCTGAGTCGACTGACTCACACACAGGGTTCTGAATTTGATCCCCATTGCCACATGAACTGGGTGTGGTAGTGCATGCCTGTAATCCAAGCTTTCATGAGATGGACACAGGAGGATCAGGTGCTCAAAACTACATAGGGAGTTAGTTCAAGGCCAGCCTGAGATACACGAGATCCTATTTAAAACAACAAACAAACAAATAATTCAAGAAATAGCCATCAAAATATAGCAGAAAAGAAAGTAGTATTCAAAGTCTGAATTCTGAGCCATAGCAGAGAAATTAGAATCACCTGAAAAGTAGCTTTCAAGTTTCTGAGCAGGAGAGGGGCCAGGCCAAGTCAGGTGTGACAGGAAATTCCATGGACATTGGGAAGAACCAATCTACTTTGCTCCAAGTGTATGAAATCTTCCTTAGTTGTAGAGGGCAGGGCCACAGCCGGGGCAAAACATTTGTGGTTTGCAGACCAGCTCAAATCATCTTCTCGGATAATGTGGCTCCATCTTGACAGAATCAAGTGGATTCTAACTGCGCTTGTGTCAAGATCTATTCACTCAATTAATTAGCCCTACTCTCAAGAAAAATTGTTACAGATATTGCTGAAGCACTTGGCTTCCCCAGGGACCAGCTAGTTCTGCAGTTTCGATCACTGCCCTGGTGCTTTTCTCAGCCGTGTGTATCAATGGATATTCTACAGGTGCAAGTATTTAAAACAATATATAATGACTTTATACATTTTCTTTTCTGGTCGATGGAAGGGGACTTTATTTGGTCCCAGGGTCATGGGCCAGTTATGGCCCCAGCTTTATTTGACCTTCTTCTTGGGGTACAGGTTGTTGGTGTGGCCACACTTCTTGCGGCAGTTGACTGCAGGGGCGGGGGTGCAGGCGTGCATAGCACTTGCGGTAGATCATCTTGTCACAGTTGTACTTCTGGGCAAGCTGACGAAGGGACGGCTCGATGATGCCACCACGCAGACGAAGCACCAGGTGCAAAGTGGACTCTTTCTGGATGTTGTAGTTGGACAGGGTCCAGCATCCTCCAGCTGCTTGCAGCAAATAATCAGCCTCTGCTGGTCAGGTGGGTTGCCTTTCTTGTCTTGGATCTTGGCCTTGACATTCTCGATGGTGTCACTGGGCTCTACCTCAAGAGTGATGGTCTTGCCCGTCAGGGTCTTCACAAAGATCTGCATGTTGGTGTCAATCCGCTCGGTCGCCGCGTTGAAAAGAAAGAGCGACTTTATACATTTTAAAGTCATATAAATGATGTGACATCCTGTATCTTCCTACAACTTCCTTTGCACTCTCAACACTAAATTTTAAGATTTGTCCACACTAGAGCTAGGGATGTAGTTCAGTGGTAGGGTACTTGGCTAGTACATTCAAGGTCCTGGGCTTGACCCCCAGCACTTCAAAAGACAACATAGAATAAAATAAGGGACTGGAGATATGGTTCCACAGTTAAGCATGGGATGTGAGATTCCCCTCTGTACGCTATGAATATGTTTTATTACCATTGGTTATTAAGGAAGCTGTTTCGACCAATAGCATAGTAGAGTGAAGCCAGGCGGGAAATCCGAACAGAGATATAGAGAGAAAGTAGGCCGAGTCAAAGAGACGTCATGTAGCTGCTGAAGGAGAAAAATGCCAGCAGCCAGTCAGAATCACTGTTAGGTCATAACCTCGTGATGATGCACAGATTAATAGAAATTGGTTAATTTAAGATGTAAGAGTTAGTTAGAAATATGCATAAGCTATTGGCCAAACAGTGTTGTGATTATCTGTTGTGGGGCGTCTGGGCGGCCAGGAAACCAATGAGCAGTCTCTGTTTACAAGCTTTCTCTTTGTTCTTACAGAGAACCCAAGTTCAGTTCCCAGCATTTATATCAGACAGCTCACAACTGTCTGTAATTCTAGCTCCAGGGGATCCAATGCCTATGGTTTCCAAAGGTACTCGCTGCATACATGTTGTGAATAACCACACATAGCCACACATACATATAATTAAAGATAATAAAAAAAATTTACCTGGATGGTGGTGATGCATGCCTTTAATACTAGCACTCGGGAGGCAGAGGCAGGCAGAGCTCCGTGAGTCTGAGGTCAGCCTGGTCTATAGAGCAAGTTCTAGAACAGGCTCCAAAGATACACATAGAAAACCTGTCTGGAAAAACCAAAAATAAAATAAAGTAAAATAAATAATAATGCAAGTTTTAGTGTTGCCTTTGCTGGCTTCTTTTTCAGCACAAAACGTCCCAAACACAATAACCTATTAACCCTTTGCTTTGTTCTTATGTATTTGTACTGTCCTTGGCTTCTGTTTTGCTATTGTTATCAATGCTTTTAGGAACATTGCCCATATTTTTGCTGTTTCTTTCTACATTCCCAAAGGTGCAGTTACTAAAGATACCGGATAAAAATGCATGTTCCTGATGCATTATCAGCTTGCTCTCCACATTAGTAGCTCACCCACTAGGTGGTAGAAGGGTATAGAAATTCCCTTTGCTCAACAAAGTGATTTCATTTCTAATTCCTACAGAATATACTTCCTTCTTCTTTCTTGTCATCCTTTCTTGTCTTTGTTTCTCGAGCAAAGGGTTTGCCCCTCAGTTCAGAACTCACTCTGTAGTCTAGGCTGGCCTTGAACTTGCTTTCTACATCTTGCCTCAATCTCCCTAATGTTAGGATTACCGTTTGTGCCTCCACACCTAGCTCCTAACACAGACACTCCAGTCATAATTCATATGCATATATATGTATACACAGTCTAGGCCGTGCATGATGATGCATGTATTTGATCTCATTCTTTGGAAGGCAGAGGTAGGCAGATCACTGTGAATTCAAAGCCAGTCTGGTCTATATAGTAAGGCCCTGTCTCAAAAAAAAGAAAGAATATTGTACATTGGAAATTATATTTATTATGATCAGCACTCTAGGTTTTTATGCAAAGATTAATTTCTTTTGTTTTCAATTCAAAAAAAGGAATATGTTTATAAAATGTGTGATGAAAGCAGAACATTCCACCTCTTCTTTGGAGAAGAGCTATCTTAACAACATTCAGTCAGCTGAAGATAGATTCGGACAAGTGTCTATACATAAATTTCAAGTCATTTTTGCATGTGCAGATTCATTCAGATCTTCCCAGACTGAAGAGGCAGTCCTGTGGCTTCCTTCCTTTTCCAAATTCCCAACAAGACTACATGAACTTTAACTCTTGATGAGCTACTTACAACTGCAGTTCCTTAGGAGCCAACATGACAGGTGACCCAGGATTTCCCTATGAGAAACAATTTGGCCATCTAAAGAAAGTATCACAATAAACAAATCTTTCTTTCTGCCTTCCAGTTCTGTACAGTGTCTCATTTCAAGACTATTGCCCTCATGAGACTTGTTCCTTCACAAGTCTAAGCCTTGAGGTGATATGAAGACCAACGTTGAGAAAAGAAACTTCAATTCAGAAATGAAACTGGAGGTACCAATACACCCCAGAGCATCTCACCATCCTTGCGAGAGCACAGCCCAGTGTACTGCTTTTTGTTCTTTAATGGGCGGGCGTGTTCTCTGGCAGGCTCGCAGAGCAGCTGCTAGTCCGACAAGGATGGCTGTGGGTCCCTGCAAGATCTCCGGGATGGCAGGCTGGTCCTGCCATGTGGTCGGAGAGCAGGAGGGTAGGTGCGGTGGACGGCGGAGTAAATGGACATAAGGCTATATATAAAGCTAAACATTTATTACTTAAAGAAGAGGCAGAGAGACAGAGAGGCAGAGATAGAGAAGCATAAAGACATAAAAACATAGAGACAGAGAAGACACATGTGCACACACCGAGAGATGGTGGGGGGGCAGAAGAGAAAGAGTTAAGATGGCAGCAAGAGAAGGTCAGAAGTGGCTGGGAGTGGGCGTGGTTAGCTCTTAAAGGGACCAGACCCAAAGGAATAACACTGCTGCAGTCTGTAGATCAACACTGGCAGCTTGAATGAGGTTGTTGTTTTTTTTTTGTTTTTTGTTTTGTTTTGTTTTGTTGTTGTTTTTTTTTTTCGAGACAGGGTTTCTCTGTCACAGCCCTAGCTGTCCTGGAACTAACTCTTGTAGACCAGGGTGGCCTGGAACTCACAGAGATCCGCCTGCCTCTGCCTCCTGAGTGCTGGGATTAAATATGCACCACCACTGCCCAGCCAAGAAGATTAATTTCTTATTCAGTATGGAAATACTGGCTTCTACGCGCTCTCCTGCCTGTGCCCTTCCAATGGCACCTGTAGGCAGCGTTCCAGAAACTCCTCCACCAGTCTTCCCTCTTCTTTGGGTTTTGTTTTTGTTTATGGAGCTGTTGTACATCACTATTCTCTGAGACAAACACCCACCATCTTTGTTCAGCAGTGCCTACTGGGCTGGTGACTGCTGACTTCCAGAAGGTAGGTGTGGTGAGAGGCAGGAGACCCTGAAAGGCATCCAGCTACTCCTCCAAAGAGTTAGCAGTTCTGCCTCAGAGCAAGGCAGACAATGTAGGGAGGGGAGCAGCACCTCTGTGGCCAGCGATGAGAAAGCTTTCATCCATGCTGGGTGACCGCTTTGCAGTGCAGCTGCTTTAGGGATCTCAAGCTGTAGTCAGAAACCCCATATGTAAGTACTCTCAATGAAGTCATTGGTTCCCTGAGTGGGGGACTTTGGCAGCATCAAAATGAAGTTTATTGTTGGGACCTTAGGAGGGGTTAGACTTTGCCTAGGCCCTCACCTTCAGAGAATATTCTCGAGAAGGCAGACTTCCTTACTTAAACATGATTGATTTCATCATTGACCTTATCTGAGGTTTGAGGGTGGACTAAAATTGCTAACCCTGTAATCATTGTTTTCCCTGGCGACTTAGGCTTCCCACCCCAAGCATAAGTTATGCTGTCATCACAGAAAAAAGATATTTAGCATGTAAGAGATTCCATGTTTCAGCACCTGTGTACCAGAGAGAGGTACTAAAACCAACCATGCTCAGTTTTCTTATCATAAATCATACTGTGTACTAGAAAACAAGAACAAGGGCCAAATACACACACTTCTTACTCTAAACCATATAGTGAATGGGAAGGCTCTGAAGGGTCAAGTTTTAAATGGGGTGTGTTTGCACAAACCTGCAATTCCAGCAGCTGGGAGGTGGCAGTAGGAGGTCATTTTCAGCTAGTGAATTTGAGGTCATAGTGGCACACATTTGTAGGCTAGAGGTAGGAGGATTGAAAATTTGGGCCGGCCTGGAGTTTATAGATATTTGAGGACAAACTGGCAATATAGTGAGACCCTACCTTTAACAGAGCTGGAAAGCTCCTGGGCCAGACTGTAAAGTTGGGGGGTTGGGGGCGGGGGAAGAGGGAGAACTACATCACGATGACAACATGGGCTATTTTTACTGAGAGATGTTAGGCTATCTAATGTTTCTCAGGATTTGGAGGTGGAAAATGAAGTGCAAAACATGTGTCATTGAGTTGGGTGAGTTGAGCAACACCTTAAATTCTTTTTTGTAGTTAGCTTTTAACTCTTCCTTACATTATGCATCTCCAGCTTTTTTATAAGAACAAAAAGACAAAAGAAATTTTATAGCCTGTAGTTACATATGAATGCTGTAAATATATATATCTATAATTCTGTAGCTGGGAGATTTTCCCTTAAAGAACAGGAGAAATTTGAATTAATCAATAATTCAAAATAATTATTGCGTAATAGCACAACATCCATTATTTTTTACAACACCCATTTTTAGGTACAGAAGTGCGAACACCTCACAGTGCTTGCTTTGTACCTTGAAGCCATGTTACTTTTCATTATCGTTGAAACCAAAACCATGTTACTTTTGTTATCATTGAAACCAAGTTACTTTTTATCTTTAACTTGTGCTTTTATTTTTTTCTGTGGGGTTTTCTAAAGTATCTCTAGGAAGTTATTTTATTTTAAAATTACTTAAAACTTTAGATTTACCTTCGAGGTTTTGCTTGCATGTATGTGTATCAAGTATGTCTTGTACCTGCAGAGGTCAGAAGAGGATGTCAGATTTGTTGGAACTGGAGTTAAAGATGGCCATGAGTCACTATGTGGGTGCTGAGAAACAAACCCACTGGGTCCTCTGCAAGACCAACAGGTGTTCTTGACCACTGAGCTGTCTCTCCAACCTGTTTGTCTGTCTATCTTTATCTATCTGTCTGTCTGTCTGTCTATCTATCTATCTATCCCTGGGATTGAACTGAGAAAACCAGGCTTGCTGGCAAGTGCCATTATGCAGTGGCCCACCTGCCCCTGCCTCCCTAGCACTGCTGGTAGCAAACACCTTTACCTATTGAGCCATCTTATTGTGGGACACATATTTTGTCCCACATAAGATTTGCGACATTGAAGTTAGTCAGTTTTTGTCCTGAGAATCCTCAGTAATTAGCCTGAATTTTCTAAATGCAACGTTGCCATGCTGTACATCAGCAAGGCTCAGTAGGCTCACTTCAGACACAGGACCCTGGAGGCCATCACATGCAGTCTTGCTCCCCTGAGTCCTCGTGACTGATATTTTCTAATGTCTTTAATGCTGGCCACAGCTGGAGCTTCCACACCACACCAATCTCACTTGACAAATGGCTCAACTGCCTTCTTCCTCGCTCCTGTCCTGCTGGCCACCATGGTGCTAAAAGAGCAAGAAGAGACTTTTTAAAAACTTCATACCCAAGCCAGGTGTGGTGGCACACGCTTTTAATCTCAGCACTAGGGAGGCAGGGCAGGAGGATGTCTTGTGCGGTCATGTGTCCTCCTCACAATGTCTTCCTTAGGTAGTAAAAATGCTAATGCCTAGGTGTGAGCTGGGAAAACTCACGGTGCTTCATGGTGCAGGTGAAGTTCTGAAGAGCATATGCTTAGCAAGCACAAATGCCGACCTTTGAGCCCTAGTACTGCCTAAAATAACAAAACCAGCCTTACAAAGACTCCTCAGTGGTGTTTTCAATGTGTACTTTTTTGTTTGGTTGGTTGTTTTTCAAGACAGTGTTTTCCTGTGTATCTCTGGCTATGCCAGAACTTGCTCTGTAGACCAGGCTGGTCTTGAACTCACAAAGATCCACCTGCCTCTGCCTCCCAAGTGCTGGGATTAAAGGTGTGCACCACCATCGCCTGGTTCTTTTTCTTAAAAAAATATATTTATTCCTATGTGTGTAGGTGTTTTACCTACTTGAATGTCCCATCGTCTAAGGAGGGCAGAAGATAGTCTCAGATTCTCTGGAATTGGAGTTACATACAGATGGCAGTAAGCCACTGTGTGGATGCTGGTAACCAAACCTAGGTCTTCTATAAGAGTAGTGAGTGGTCTTAACAGCTGAGTCACCTCCCCAATCCTGGCATATCTTTTTCTGTTCTTCTACTTTGACTAGCAGCATTTGGTAAATCAAACAAACTTGGAGACAGCAATGAAGAAAATTCCTGAGGATGATTCCCAACAGCTGAGCAATGTAAAGACATAGAAGGTAAAGCTACCTGGGGAAACAGGAACAAGGTGTGAAGGAAAAGTCCAGGCTTTGATCTGTCATTATTTCAGGGCCAACTGGATGTAGGGAGAGTCTGAGACCTACAGAGAGATGTGAACGAAAACGCAGATTTGTGAGTCCGCCAGAGCTGACAAAAGACCGGAGGCAAAAATCCCGACAAATAAAAGATTAAAGGCTCCTAGAAGGAGACAACATCAAAAAAGACTGAAAAGGAGTCATCTCCATATAAAAGAGCTATGAAAATGTAAGATTGGCAGAAATGTCTAAAGCTGAAAGTCCTGGGCATGATGGGGTTATTAGAAAGCTTATTTGGAGCATATTCGAAGTATCAGCCAGACTGACCAGGAGGAAGGGAAAGATAGTTGGTGCAACATTCATGCAATTGATGCGAAGAAAGGTGAAAGGCGGGGGTGGGGGGGAGAGGCAAGGGATGCTCGTTACCCATCTTTCTTGCCAGCTGCCATCTGTCTTTCTTGCGTCAGCCAGTTTCCCTAGACAAGAAAGTCTTAGGTAACCACTCTGTATTCCAAAGCTGTGTGTCTGTATGATTCCTTGCAATGTGTCTGTCATGATATTTATCACGATGTATCGATGTATTTTGTTTACATACGACATGCTGTGTAGAGAGGGATGATCCTTTGTAATTCTCAAGCTTAATTAGCATAACACCTGGCAAAGAGTAGGGGGTGAGTTCAGGGTTATTGAATAAGTATCAGGCAGTTTTAAGAAGGTATGAAGATAACTGAGCAGTTACAAACACTTGGTGTGGCGGGGTGGTGGAGGCACACACCTTTAATCACAGGAGGTTCTCTGTGAGTTCGAGGGCAGCCTGGTCTATAGAGTGAACTCCAGGACAGATAAGGCTACACAGAGAAACCCTTTCTCGAAAAGCCAACCAACCAGCCAAACTTTTGAGAGTCTTGCTACGTATAGCAGACTACCCTGGAACCTGTGGCTGAGTGGATTTTGTTGTTTTGAGGCAGGGTCTCCTCATTTAGCCCAGGTTGACTCGAAACTCACTATTTTACTCATGTTCGTCTCAAACACGCAGGAGTCCTCCTGGAGTGCGGGTTACAGGGGTGAACCTCTATGTGTGGTTGAGGCTCACTGTGCATGCAGCCTGGTCTGGCAAGACAGGCTGCAGGCAAGAGGCTCCATCTAAAGAAATAGCGGATGTAACTGTCAGAGCGCTGAGATGTTGCTGTGGGTACCGGAAGGCAACCTGAGCAGGGGAGGAAAGGAGATGCCTGGCTTGGGAGCTTCTGCTTCCATCACCCAGGACTCCACAGAAGCTTGAGCACAGGGTAGGAGCCTCCAATCACCTATCAGCTCGCAAATTCTAGAAGACATCCAAGCTAGTGCACGAGGAGATTTAGTAGGGACGTCTCGGGTGTCCACAGCGACTGGGACCGGCGCTCTCAGGGCAACCGAGGTCACACAGCTCGGGAAGAATCCAACGCCTCTCCTTTCCCGAACGCGGCGGCGGTGGAGTGTTGGGGGGGGGGGGGGAAGAAAGGGTGGGGAGACTGATCCGGAAGTGCTTATGGGAAACCGGAAGCAGATCATTGCGACAGGCCCCAGGAGCCACCGCCCCCTCGTCGCGGTGCAGTGTGCAGGTCGGGGTCCGCTGTGCCTGGGGCGTCCCGATGGTCCCCAGCTGGCGGAGTCAGGGGCGGAGGGAGGATGACCTCTCCTTGGGGTCACAGTGCCGACCTGGCCCGCTTCTACACTGTCACCGAGCCCCAGCGACACCCCCGGGGCTACACAGTCTATAAGGTTACCGCCCGGGTGAGTGCCTGGATAGGGACACCGGGGCGGGGCACGGGCTCCGGACTGCTGCCGGGTGCGGCTGGTGGTAGTGAGGACTCACGGGGATGGAGACTCAGACTGGAGACGCTAGGTAGTAGACAGGAACTGCAGGCAGAAACGGGACCCCAGGATGGAGATGCTAGGAACCCCAGACAGGAGACTCCAGGCATAAGAGACTCAAGGATGGAGATGATGGTGACCCCAGGCAGGAGAATGGACTCGAAGATGGAGATTCCAGGATTGAGATGCTGAGAGCTCTCGGCAGGAGTCAGGACTCCAGGATGGAGATGATGGGGACCCAAGGCAGGAGAATGGACTCCAGGTAGACGGGGTGGTGGTGATGGGGGGCGGGTGGAGAGGTAGGGGGTGGTGGGTAGATATGGGATGGCAGGCTCTGCTTTCTGTTCTGGGGTGGAATACTGGAGAATGCTTTAAATGGATGACCTAGTCTCTGCCCCACGTGGACTTTCTCTTATAATGAAATTTGCAGGGGCGGGTTGGCTTCTTCCGGAGGGAAAACACACACTTAAAAACGCTAGTGGGTGTTTTGTCTGGCTTATGTAACCGAAGTGCTGCCTGCTTTTCAGTTCTCATTCAGTGGCGGGTTCGCTGGGAGGCAGGTAGGCTGCTGGCAAAGGATTCACTGTTAGTTTACCTGTCTCGGACCTCACCTTTGTTTCTGAGCTTTTCTGAGCCTTTTCTGAAGGAGATGCATGTGTACTTAAGTGATCTTACCTGTGACTGGAGGACAGACTGGGCTGACGAGGTGACTCGGTAGATAGAGGTGCTTGCTGTCAAGCCCGAAGACCTGTGTTCAATTCCTGGGATCTACACAGTGGAAGGCGAGAACTGACCCCTGCTGACTGTCCTCTGACAGCCAAAGGTGTTCCCTGCCTACCCCCTGCAAATAAATAACTGTTAAAGCTGGGTGGTGGCGGCGCACGCCTTTAATCCCAGCACTTGGGAGGCAGAGGCAGGCGGATCTTTGTGAGTTCGAGACCAGCCTGGTCTACAGAGCAAGTTCCGGGACAGGCTCCAAAGCCACAGAGAAACCCTGTCTCGAAAAAAACCAAATAAATAAATAACTGTTAAATTTTTTTTCGAGGTTGTTTACATCCGTTCACTGTTCCAAATTTAGTACTGTTTTTCTTAAGTTTTGTTGCTCAGCTTGAATTTTGAAAGCTGCTCATTTCCCTTAGCAGACAGTGAGAGTACTAATGACATGAAATAGGCACTTATGTGTGCAGTGCTTGTATGTATACTGGGCATTTTGTGCCCATCCCCCAGCATAATTTTTAACTTCATGATGAGGAAACAGATTCAAGGAAGTTTAGAAGTTTGCTGAAGTTTCTGTAGCAAAGCAGTAGGAGCTTTGGTCTGTGGAACCAGTTCTGCCTAACTCCAAGATGAGACAGTGTCAGGAATTAGCTCTGAGGAAGTCAGGTGTGGGTGCAGGAGTAATAAGATTGCAGCATTAATTTAGAAAGCACGCAGGAAGAGGTTCCCGAGAAATGCGAGACTAGACTAAGCTAAGCCGGGCTTGGGACTTGCAAGTGGCTGGTGGCATTTGGAAATGGTGCAGAGTCAGACAGATGTAAGATGCTGGCTTGAGCAAGTCTGTCAAGATAGCAAGAAGACCAAGTTCATGAAGAATGGGAAGAAGTTTGCCTTCCCTTTTTGTAGGTCAGATTGTTGTATGGGTGGGTGTGAGCTGTAGTTTTTCTGAGAAATATAAAAACATGAGGGGCTTCTTCCTGTGTCATTCTTGAGGCCTTTTCAGTCACGGATACCCTTGATTTCCTGATACAAAGCTTATAGAATCAGAACTATTCAACAGACAAGAGGTGCCTGTCACACAAGCACGTTGAACCTCCTCACTGTTAACACCAGTGTTGCATCCGTTGGCCTATAAGCCTTTGCCTCTTACTAGACAGAGAGCAAGACACTTCGCGCTGGAAGTGGTTTCATTTCAACAAAAGCACTGGTCATTGCGTTAGCCCCAGACTGTTTGCCCTCTTCTTTTTTCTTTTTATGTTTTGTGTATTTTTATTTTATGCATATGAATGTCTTGCCTGCATGTAGATATGTTGCTACATGTGTGCTGAGTGCAGACAGAGAGTTGGTAGGAAGTAATCGAATCTCCTGGAACTGGAGATACAGATCGCAGGGAGCCACCATGTAGGTGCTGGGACGTGCAGCTGGGTCCTCTGCAGAAGCAGTGAGTGCTCTTACCACCGAGACTGCCTTCCAGCTCAGATTGCTTTCCTCTATCCTGGGCACCATGTTTAGTGGGTGTGCAGTTCCAGGCACTTGGCTCTAGAAGGTATGCAAGGGAGTGCTCGGGTTCCCCTTTTCTACTTAGGGTAGAGTGGAGTTTGTTATGCTTAACTAGATACAGTCGTATAGGAAGGTGTGTAGTGCCGCAGCCCCCAGGAAAGAGCTGTGGTGCATAGAAGACAGAGTGCTGTGACCCTGGTGGGCAGGGTGGGAGGAGTCAAGAAAGGATGATGGTGGAGATGGAAGAAAGGGATGGAGCCTATGAAGGCCTGGGAGTATGACTGTGGCACTTAACTGAAAGCCCTGAGTGTGATAATTGTATTATTACTTTCCAAAACGGAAGGTTGTCAAATGCAGATTTAAAGTATCCCAGTATATGGGCTGGGGAGATGGCTCAGTGGTTAAGAGCACTGACTGCTCTTCCAGAGGTCCTGAGTTCAGTTCCCAGCAACCACATGGTGGCTCGCAGCCACCTGTAATGAAATCTGGTGCTTGCTCCTGACCTTCAGGCAGACATAAAATATCCCAGTATCAATTAGGTGATGTAGCACATCGCCTTAGACATACTCACGCGTCTGTGCTGCACATGCTGCCTGTTGCCATGTTCACTGAACTTGCAGATTGTTGACACAGACTCTCTTCTCTCTGTAAGTGTCCTCATTTACTGCTTACGTTACAGATTGTGTTTGTTACAAGGGTTAGCAGGATTTTATTTTGTGGTTGTTTTTAGGGCTGGGGATCAAACCTGGGGTCTCACAGAAGTGAGAGCCTGTGCCACTTACTTAGCTGTGCCCACAGCCTGAGGTTTTTGTTTTGTCCTTAACATTATTTGTGTCTGTGCATGTGTCTGTGTGAGTGTGGCCCACTGACATGCATGTGGAGGTCAGAGAGTAGCTTGGGGACTCACTTGTCCCCTGTCACCATGTGGGCTCTGGAGGTTGAGCCTGGGCTTATTTTCCGAGCCATCTCAGTGGTCCCACAGCCCGAGTTTTATATGTGTTCAGATTTTGTTTTTTAAATTAAAGATCAACATGGAGGTGCATTTAAAAAACAATTATGCCTAACATTATGAATCAAGTAAAATGTTTATTGCTTTTTTGGAACGTAAGAAGAAAAACATCTTTCCTCAGGAGAGCTAATCAGGTAATAGGGCTCCCCTGAGAACGCCTCAGGATAAAAGTTAGACGAGCTTCCTGCGTGTTCGCTGCTCCGGATTCAGAGCTTGAGGAACAGTGTTTGATCATCAGGAGAGAATTAGAATCATTCCATTTTGGACAACAAAGGAACTCTTTCTTTTTATATTCAATCTCTTTAGTACCTTTCTTTTTCTATTTTTAATTTTCTAGAACCTGACAGGCTTGCGATAACTTTGTAGTTATTTAGAGGCAAGACAACAGATGCCCCTATTACTTCTTTTTAGTTTTTGTTTTCAGAGTAACCAGAAGTATTTTACTAGAACATAAGAATTACAGAAGTTTCCAGAGCAGTCATACATAGTCAGAAGCTTTTTTGAATCTGAAGGACTGTTTAGCTGGTTCTGATCAATGCCCACTGTCTGGTTGCTTAGCTGGTTCCGAGCAGTGCCTACTGTGTGGTTGCAGTATTTTTATCTGTTTGCCTATTGATGGACATTTGGGTTCCTTCAGTTTGGGGCTGTTTGGGATGCAGCTCCTGTGATCTTGTGTGCGCTGTTGGCATTTTTTCTCTTGCTATCACATAAATTTAAAATTTATTATTATTTTTTACTATGTCTTTGTGCTAAATCTTGAAATCAGGTCATGTAAGTTCTCTTTCTTTCAAAATTTGTGTTTTGGTTATATAGATTGCTTGCAGTTTTATATGAAATTGAAAAGCAGCTTGCCAAAATTCTTAAAAAATGCCTACTTAGATTTTTTTGATGTAGGATTGTGTTGAGAACAGAGATCAATTTTAGAAGAATTGATGAGGTAAAAATAACGAGTCTTCTGGAACATCCCCGTGTGAACATCCCCGTGTGTGAGCATCCCCGTGTGTGAACATCCCCGTGTGTGAGCATCCCCGTGTGAGC